TGTACATATAATGATGCAATGAATTTTAATGGTATATTATAGATATGATACCTTACCCAGGGCTAACGGGATTTGTATCCAAAAAGCATAGGCATGTATCATCTTCGTATAGCTGCAAGCAGATGAAATTGAATGACAATAAGAAAGTTGATCATTATAAATTATGTTAATCTAGATTCTAGACATACAAACTATGTATGAAACATTAAAGCTAAATGAAACCACTAGTAAGACTATGACAACCATGAGGGAAAATTCCCATGGATTCAAGAATCATGTGAAAAGCAACTCCATAAAGAAAATAAGTTATGAATGCTCACGAAAATGGCAGAAAAACTGGTGGGTTAGATACCATGTGAGAGAGGCCCTTTGCGTGCAAGTCATTTGTCACATGCTTTGCTTACTAGAGACTACTAGACCTAACAGAAATTGTTACAAAATTGATCACTTCAACAAATACGATTCTGATTTGCTTGAAACCCTAAATACATGATTATTTGTTATCTAAATAGGCCTGTTGATTAATGGCTATTGCAGAGGTTTTATGATAATCCCAATGAGTAGTGAGAAATCTAAAGTCCATATTTGCTCCAAATTTGGGCATTTAAACAAACACAAAGGAATAAAATAATTCATCAAGTAACTCGATCAAGCATCATACATAATGCATGATTCGGAAACAGCTAAAAATCCAACTCAAAGCAAAATCAAAGACGAAATCCGAAATCAGGTATACCTTTAAAGCAGGTGCGTCGCCTCGAATAATCTTACAGAAAACACAATCAGCCTCGAGATTGCGCAGCTTCTCAGAATCTGAGGAATTGCAATGAGAGGGCGAGACAATAGATGAAGAAACATTGGTCGTAGTTGGTGGAATGGGAATTTGGCGAAGATGAGAAGCGATGACGGACAAACGACGTCCCTGTGCGGCTTCCATTATAAATCAATCAATTGATATCAAGAGAAGCAAACTAGTGTCGTTGTGATGAAGTGAGTGATGAGCATCACCGTCGGCACCACCATGGTCTGTCTGCAATAAAGGTGGTTCCGATTCAACACGGCACGTGACGTGAAGATGAAGATGAAGATGAAGATGGAGGGTCTGGGGATTTGTGGCGCAGACAGCAAGGGGTGAGGGGCCTCTGGTTTCGTTGGCTATGGATAATCCACAGTGTATGTGTATGTGTAAACGACAAGTCAATTGGTATTTTTGGGGATGGATTTAGGGGTGTATAATACGAGATTTAGGTGCTGTCAGTTTTTTCTTTGGCTGTGGACCATATCTGTAGACCTCTGCAGTAGAAGAAGTGGACCAAACGTCTGCAGTCTGGAAAAAAAGATTGTTTGTTTTTTTAACATCTGTGGGCTACTATAATAAACTGAAATCTAAATAAACTGATTTTTTTAAACTTCAAAGTGATTTTTTAAATATTTTTATGACTTTGTTATAAATAATTAACGAATCTAGATCAACTTTTATGTATTATTGTATAAAAAATAAAAATAAAAATAAAAATGGTATGAATTAACGTATATATTTGATAAAAACCAACAACTTTGATTGCAAAGTTATAACTAAACATTATAATTAGTGATCAAGAATTTGATACATAAATGGATAGAAATAATCTTCGATTTTTTCAATTAAATCCATTAAAAACGTACCATAAATATTTTCTCGAGAAATTGACGATACTGTATTAAATAATGTTTTACAAAATTTTGCAAAAAAATATAAAAATATATTATGATTTTTTTTTTCATATTTATATAAACAAAATCAACGACTATTATTGTAATAAATCTTTATTTATAAATTTGTGAAAAATATAATGTTTGTATCGTCAAACGTTTTTTTTTAAGTTTTGTAATTTTTTTTCAAATTGTTTATCATTAATAAAGTTGGAAAAAATATAAATAAAAAAAACTTTAAAAAAATTAA